TGATGACAGAAACTCAAAGGTTGGAGTCAATAGTTGGAAAATGTGGCCTTGGTGATAGAAATGATGCTGCAGATCACATGACAGAATTCTGTAAAGTCAATGATTTGTTCATTTCAAATACCTTAAGATAGCAAAAGAGATAATTATACACATGGACCTCACCAGATGGAATATAAAGAAATCAAATTGACTACATCTGTGGAAAGAGACGATGGAAAAGCTCCCTATCATCAGCCAAAACAAGGCCAGGGGCAGACTGTGGAACAGACCATCAATCGCTCTTATGCAAATTCAAACTAAAGCTGAAGAAAATGAAAATAAGTCCACAAGAGCCAAAATATGACCTTGAATATATCCCACCTGAATTTAGAGATTATCTGAAGAACAGATTTGATACATTAGACACTAAAGATCAAAGACCAGAAGACTTGTGGGATGACATCAAGAACATCATACAGCAGGGGTCTGAGATACAGGGACTGAGTCATGATTGGAATGGGGAGGGAATCATGTTAGGATGCTGGAATGTTTCTTTATTACATGACTAACCAAGGGGCGAGAGTTTTAGTCTGTGTTACAGGTCAAAAGCTCTCCAGTATGGATTCCAGCCTGACTAATTCGACCCTATAGCGAGAGGACAGCTACTTTTCCATCTTTGGAGCAAGCTTGCCTGAGGGAGCCAGCATTCACCGAAGACCCACCTGAAAGAGTGACGTCATCTGCTTCTCCACTGAGGCCCCTCCGGCAAGAGCACCAAGGAACCTGCCAGCCGTTTCCACAGCAGAGGAGACTTTAAAAACTGTTTAACTATTAGAAAACTGGTTAAACTCGAGACTTTCTGTTGCTTTGCTTGTCGAGCGTGGGGAATGGGGAGTTAACAGATGTTACTGATTTTGCAATCGTTCATCAACGATCATATGCTTTATTGCCTGTTAATGTTTTCAGAAGCTAGGCAAATCACTGCGGTGCCTGGCCCTTAAACATGCCATGTGTCTTTACTCCCATGTCAAGAATCACTGCACTAATAGGAATTGTTACCTTTTTTGCCCTGCCCACCATGTAAATCAACTGTCCAGGGATATTAGTCTCGCTCATATGATCCAAGAGTAAATAGACAAAGGTTTACAAAACAGACTAAATGCTTTAGAAAAAGGATGATCGCTTAAGGGAAATAAGATTCCATATATCCAGTTTACACTCCCAGCTAAGGTTATTCACTGTATAAGTAGATTTGTAATATCTTTCAGCAACCCAGAACTTGATTGGAACTTAACTCAACAGCATTTTAGGAGGTTGTGGAATAATAGTCACTTGTCTGCAGATATTCATCAGTTACAGGCTCAAATTTCTGATATAAGTAATTCCCAAGCTGAGCACTGAGTGGCTTCTAGTTTGCTACCTCTGCTAAAGATTAAGATCCCCTATGAACTTGATTGAACCTCAGCATAGTGGTCCTGCTCAGTCACCTTAGAGCAGGTGGTGGTCTGGCAACGTCTTGAGTGTGGGGTCCCCACCTGGTCTCCTCCCTCCCTGCCTTCTTTGGATGGTGGCTGTTTATGCTGGATGTGTGGCCAGAGACGGGTAAGGATCACATGGAACCTTGGCAACCTAAGACAGAGTCATTGCCATGCTGCAATGAGTTTCGATGACAGGTAAGACTGAGGAATTCGCACTGACCGCCTAAGACAGGCAGCGTCCCTCAAACAAATAATAAATAAGGCGGAATCTGTGGCAGACCGTGCAGACCCGGTCAGGAGTTCACGGCCCTGTCGGCCCAAGTGTTGCAGACCATCCAAACCATAGGCTCTGAGGATCAGACCTTGGTCACCTAGCAGACATAGCAAACTGGCCCTCATCTGATTATTCAGTATGCTTGCTAGTAATCTCATACATGAGCCCTGGATATCCA